TAATCACAAAATAATCAAGTTTAGCATCACATATTTCTTTCCCGACACTTGCCTCTCTTCGCTTTAAGAAAAGCGAGGCAAGGTAAGGACAGACAAGACAAGACATGCTTTAGAATGCGAGTAAAGCATCGCGATAGTATAGCTGCGATTTGACTGAAAGCCAGCGTAAATCTATTAAGATTGGGGTTACGTTATCGAACTTCCTGTTGTTGCTGATGATTCGGGTGGCGAAGTTCTGTGCAGCTTGAAGCCTAAGTAGATGTGCAGTTGCTGCATTCAACTTCCGTATAGCATGAGCTGCCTGAAGGGAAATGTCACTGCCGTTTCTAAACTTAAGCGGTATGTAAATTAAACTAATGCACTCACGAGGCACCTACACTGAGTTCATAAGAACTCTGGAGAAGGTTTGGATTTAAACGCGTGTACTTGGTTAACAGAAGTTTAGAAAAGCAGTGTAAGGAACAAAATAATCAGTTACTGAAATTAATCAATTAATATCATTATCGGAAAGGAATGATCTTTTTTGTAGATTTCATTGCCGAGCATCAAGTTCCAGCCCTCTTGACTGATCGTGTTCCGCACATCTGTTTTACATCTATCTTAGTTCATCTCAGCTAGAGTGCGACACGAATTCCTTTAGAGCACCTCACCAGACTTACTTCAACTGGATGAAAATGTAAAATCTCACGGCTTAATTTAAAATTTCAAAACAAGGTGTTTAAGTTAGTATACAAACATCGTCCAATTTAGCAATATTACATGATATGATAAATTGATAATTCCTCAATGGTATTGATATGAAGAATCGTTGTATAACGGGCCGGGTTTTGATTTAACTACTCCTCGTCTTGAAGAGTTAATACATACTTGAGTTAATAACAAGGAAAGACTATTATATTCTATGACACGCACGGCCCTTTCCTGAAATGAGCCTACTGTCTGAGTGTTTCGGGGTATCTCAGCGGCGCTCACAATGTTTGTAAGTGTATTCGTTCATTCAAGTTTTGAATCTTTTTCATTATAGGAAATAGAGTCGAAGATTTCCAAGCCCTGTCAGTCTATAAAATACATCAAATGGCCTTTAATTTCTGCATAGAAGTGCCAGACGTTCCTAGGCTAGCAGAGACCACCAGAGATGATGCCCTCCTAATTCATGTACAATTCCATGGCAATGGTAAAAAGGACTATAACGTTGAGTATGAAAAGCTCAAAAGCACCATGCTGACAGAATACCTGAGACAACGTGATGGGCCTGACTTTCACGAAAATCTCATGAAGCTGACTTTTAATATCACGCCTGTCGAAGTTGCAAATAACTTCTGCCGAAGCGTTTTGGAAAGGGGGATATTTTGTCGTCAGCGCCCATACATCTACCTTGGTCACTCGGATGAGCAGCTTGCGAAAAAATCTTGTTACTTTATTGCAGCAACACATGAAGAAATCCACGACCTCTTGTCAAAGTTTGGAGACTTTTCTGGTGAGAAAAATGTGGCAAAGCGTGCCAGCAAAATCGCCATGCTCTTTTCACCATTAATAAAAACTGTCCACTTAGATGAAAATTATTTCAAGGTCGAACCAGATGTGACAGATGGAGTTTTCCCCTCGCACACTTTCACCGATGGATGTGGTTTCATGTCTTTAAGATTCGCTTCCGAAGTGCAAGAAGTCTTAGGTCTTGATTACCAGCCTAGCGCCGTCCACGTACGCTATCGAGGAATAGAGGGCATGCTAATTCTTAAAGAAGATCTGAGTGGTATTAAAGTGCAGTTCCACAAATCAATGCAAAAGTTCCTGGATCCTGATGGAGAAAAGCCTGACGTTTTTAACATCGTCAATGTTATCGGTTATTCACGCCCATTCACCAATGGTTATCTTAACTCTCGAATGATCATGTTGCTTGAAGAACGTGGTGTTTCTGCCCAGAGTCTTGAGGCCTTACAAGATGACTACCATGAGTTGTTGGAAGGCATAAACAAAGGAACCTCTGACTCTGAGTACTTCCTAATGTTAATGGGAGAAATTTATCTTTTGCAAGTAATCCAAGACAACGGAATTGACGGTCGCACAAAAAGGGAACTTAAGCGTTTACAGAAGCGCGAGCTGGAAGAAATGGAGATAGCTACGTACACAAGAGTTCTTGTCCCCAAATCTCGCGAAGTATTTGCCGTGTGTGATCCTCTCAACAAGTTGAACTATGGTGAGTGCTACTTCAATCCCACTCTTCCTGGTAACAAGGCACGAGATTTTACTGCCGGCCAGAAGTTTGTAGTAATGCGAAGCCAATGTTATCATCCAGGAGATGTGCGTGTGTTGAAAATGACTGACAAAAGAAAAGGGTACGAGAAACTGAAGGATTGTCTGGTGTTGCCCGTCAAAGGCCCACGTCCCCATGCGTTTGAATGTTTCGGAGGTGACCTGAGCGGAAAAAAATTCTTCGTCAGCTGGGATCAAAGCATCCTTCCGAGTGGAGAAGAGAAACCATGCAACTATTCGCCCTCCATTAAAGCTAAAATTTCCCCAGCTGTGGCTCACATTGTCTCCAAAGTTGCCTCGAAATTCAAGAGAACCAACCCAAGCAAAGGAGTGGAAGACAGAAAGGAAATGGAGCTGTATTTTGCCACATATTCTGATCAAATAAGCAAAGAGATCGAACAGGCATACTTGCAATGTGCAACGACATCGAGCCTCTCATCAAAAGAATTTCGACATCTCAGCAAGATGTTGTACCAAGTTACCATCCCTGGAGAGGATCTTCAGGATTTGCAGGAAGAGCTCAACAGCATAAAGCCTAAGATACCCTCAGGAAAGAGCACAGGTCTACCAATTGACCACGAGCCACAGCATGCATATGAAAATCCGGAGACAGAGCATGAGCTAAGCACAATCAGTGGACCGTCAAGAAGGCAAGTGAGCCTTACCGGAAGTCGGTCTACAAGTTTAGCGGCAAGTTTGGATTCATCACTCGACGAAGAGGATTTCGAGGAGCGGCAGTCACTCAGACACAACACAATGTCCGCGACGACTGCATGCGAAGGTAGCGCAGGAGATTCCTGTCACCGTGGTATTAAAATATGGCAAAAGATTGACGACAAAGCCAAGGAATTTGTTCACCGTATGCAGCGTGAAATGAGGAAGATCGTCGTGTAAATTTCAGGGAGAGTTAATGACGGCAGTTTTCTACATCCACTTCATTGGAGGTGGCTCATAAGAGCCGTTTACTTGTTATAGCGACCCAATCATAACTACTCTTAACAATACATTACCATACCTTTTTTTCTTGCAAAACTATTTTTGAGAAAAAAGAAGTTGCGTTACAGATATGAACTTGCTGTGCTTACACCTTTGTTGGATGGTCACGCATACACCGTCGCTGAATGGTCACGCAACGGTTTCTACTCGGCCTATCATCATCTAACTATACAATTAACGTAAAAGATATACTCTGAACTGTTGAAAGTTTCCTTATTTTCTATCATAGGGTTTTAAAGACAGTATACATAGGAATTTCTTGCTGGATATTATAACCTCAGTCGTCGAAAAAATCGATAGTAATGTCTTAAAATGAGAGTGCAATAAAACGAATATCTCTTTGTATGACAAAACATTAATTTAGACGAATGAGTTGGCCTTAGCGTTTGTAAGGATTCACCGTTTTCTCTTTAAAGCATTCGACTGTTGTTTTGATATTAAATTTTCCTGTCGTTACGGCTGGATTGAGCAAAAATTTCAAGAGGTTTTACTATATCAAAGTAAGGATCAGTAATGACACGCTGGAGCCGAAATTTGTCACGTCAGATGTCAGTGGTAAAGACATGCGTAGAAAACAAATCAACTTTGCTTTGAAATAGAACTACATTACTTAACGTCACAAAGGGTTACCCCAACAGTGATAGAAATGACATAAATGAGACATCCACATAGATAGTCAGCGCTTTTGTTTCCAAAGTATAGCGTAGACTTGTCGGAGGAAACTTCGTAAGGATGCTAGATCTTTAAGTTCGACATGTGAGCCGAAAATAGAACACTGATATTTGTTAGGGGGATGTAGTAAATAAAAAAAGGCGTTATGTTTTATTTTAAATAATTGTCAGCATTTATCAAAAGTATAATATTTAAATATAAATCATCAAACTTTGGCCGACTGCTCTAAAGTGTGTTCCTTTTTTTTTAATGAGCGGAAATTTCCAAGAGCGAGCGCTCCGTGGACGTCATAAGCAAAGGCTCCAGACACTAGCAGGACAAAATAGTGAGTGATAAAATCGATGATAAGCAAAGAACTTGAAAACTACCAAATGCCTAAACAGACGGGTTGACACCACAGTCTCGTACCCAGGCGCGGTCACGGCCGTGGACAACCTTATACAGGGAGCCTGGGGAACACCAAAAAGGAAGGTTTTGTTGTCGTTGACGTCATTTGGCTATAATAGACACCAAGTGAACTTGAACCTTTCACAAAGGACAGTTGGACAAAGGTCCCAGAAACTAAAAACATTACTGGGCTTTGACGATACGTCCATAGATGGTTAAGAGGACTTAAGATTTTTATGTAAGGTAAGAAATGAGGATAATCACACTGTAGGATTATTTGAAAAGTTCGCTGTCTAAGAAAAATTAAATAGAAGACTTACCAAGTTTTCGGTTCTCCTTAGAAATGTAATTTCAATTGCTGATCAATCCACACGACATACCTGTTGGTTCATAGTTCACCTTTTTGTTTGTCAGAGTTCTGTTGTGTTGCGATCGGGAGAATTTCGTCAGCGTAGATGAGTATTTTTTGGAAGGATCAGAATTTGTTAATATATTTTATCAATATTTCATATATGAGTACAAAAAACGCGGTGGTACAGCAAACCGTGAGAGTGATGACAACGCAATTTTCTCGACAAAAGTACTTTGAAAACAATACATCGTTTATGAATTGTTAGGGAACGTATTTATCTGTACAAGCCGCCAAACATTTTCATAAAATATAAATGAATTCTCCCATTCAGAGAAAAATATTTAAAATTTTAAAAATTTCGGCTAACTTCCTTTCGAAAGAGCAAAACGTTCGCTTTATTATCGTGTCAGAAGCGGACATAACACCAAATTTGTCAAACGTAAGCGTCTTATCACAGAGCCAGAAATTATTTATTCCGTTTGCACTCTTCCATTCGTCTCCTAAGTGTCTGATGATCATATGATTACTGTTCTTAAAACTTGTTTCGTTTTCATATTACATCTACAAGAGTATTAAAATAATTCTAATAATTTTTCAAATTAATAGACCTTTGATTATAACCGATCCTCGTGATGGTCAACTGGAGTTTGTCTCTGTTGTGATTCAGTTCGTTGACAATGCAGCTTCCAGAACAACTGTCTAAGAACAAAGACAAACGACTCTAAGGCAAGTAATCATATTGTTTCAGATCACAACTGCAGTAAGTGAGCCAGATTACTGATAACGATGAAGTTAAAAATTCAGTTTCGATTGACATTTGATTAAGTCTATTATAAATTACGACTATTTGTGTTGAAATGCATAGGTAGAAAACGGTTCTTTGGAGCAAATCCTGCCACAAGTTTTTCCGGAATTTGCCCTTGACTCGACAATGATAAATGTTTAGATCGACTGATAGAAAATAAATGATAGTTGCGATGTTTTTTAAGTTTAAAAGATGAGAGATTACATCCGAGTAACCTATCAACTTCTCGGTCTTGTGATTCGCTCTCTTCCGTTTTAAATTAAATAATTTTCTTCTGTCATCTTTCTGTGAAGTGGATTACTGCGTATGTGTCACTAACATGGACAATTGCATTGAATTAACAAATGTGGGTTACGTAATGATAGAATACCACATAGCTTCGCTCTGGTAAGACGTGGAAAATGCAGACCAGGTTGTTAGTATTTCTCGGTGATATAACGAAAGGTAGAAACAAATGGTTTGACGCCACAAAGCTAGATTATGCAGCCATGTTGAAGAGAACAGATCAAATTAAAGAAAATTATGCATTCGTGTTGGCAAAGAACAGATCAAATTCAGAAAGTTGCCTGCTGATCTGTCGATTTTAGCTTTGTTCAAACAAAACAAACAGGCAATAACAGGCCCATGTCGGGACGAGATTAACGAAAGCCTGAGAGGTTTAACTTGGCTTATAGATCATGAACTTAAACCTTTTGAGACAAATCTTCAACATCTATAAAACGTGACAGTGGAAACATCGTTCTTCCGAAAAAAATTTTTTTATCTCTGTTATGTAATTTTAGCTCGGAAGCGTGTTGTGCATATGACCACTCATCCATTTTCGTGCCATTTTGTTATCATCACTTGTTGCGTGATGTTCATGGCTTATATAACACGAAAACTTTATTTTCGTGTTACTTTTTAAAGTATTTCGAAAATTTATTTGGTTTAAAAATTGAAAGTTTGCCCTGATTTTGGTGCAATGGGCAACGAAGTGGTTCAAGGTTTGGGGAATTGATTTTATAACTGTAAAGTAAAACATCACTCTTCTTACGATGAGGTTAAAAGATTCCGGCTGACGAATGAAATGAGTGCGTGAAATCTGGTACACATCCTCTCTCTAAAGCGTGCTATGCACATGATTTCCCCAAGCTTCTTTGTTTACCAAATTGGCAATGGGAAATTTTGGATAGTTCGACTTGAAATAATCCCTCGCTTCAAGAGATCGGATTTTTATCTACGAGTCATCTGTACTGACAGGAAAAAAACGCAATCGAAAAGTTTCAGTTTTGATGTCCTCATACATATTTTTTTCCTCAAACAGTAGCCTGCAGGCGTCTTATGAGTGCGAGCTAACGTTATAAGATCGCGATCGTTTATCCGACCGGCTATGTTTGATTTGCAGTTAGAGTGGACGGTGGGGGTAGGGGGCGGGGGAAAGGGCTTTCCCCCACCCCTACCGCCCTCTTTATTTTTGACCGTGGACCGCCCCCTTGGTACAAATTTATTTCTCTCCCCAGCCTTTCGCTGTCATTAGAACTAAAGATGGCGGCTATAATTTTCGTTATGAAATTACTGAGCACTCCCTCGCCAAAAGTACGCCTGCTCTGCAGGCTACTCAAACAATTGCGCCCTTTTCGCACCTATACCAATATCAGTAGGCATATTCTTTGCATCGTTCTTCATAATCAAGTTTAACTTACCGGTACATGCAACTTACTGCTCAAACATCAAGTAGGTGTTATGACGAGGACAATCATTTTCAAACTTAAGAATAAACTTCGGGTCAATAGAGTCTCAAGAAGCATCGAAACACTACAATATCGCTAAAAAAAAATATTGACATATTTCACTAGTCCTAATTCGGCCAACCAAGGGCAAATTTGAGACAAACTGGAAGCTACTAATAAAGTAATTTGGTTTTATCAATTGAGTTGATACTGTAAGTTGACCACTATAAACGGAATATTTAAACGTGGCATTTCAAGCGTTAGCCCTCGGCAGTCGTCATTTGCTCTGACGAAGGGCTAACGCTCCAAACGTCAGTTTTAGAAACTCCTTACAGTGGTCAATTTACATTACCAAGTCAGTTGATTAAACCAAATTATCTTATAATACCCCAACGACGCAGTACCACAGTTCCTTTAGAAACTTATCCCTTAAAAAGAGAAAGTAGAACAGGGTAGAAAGTTTAGAAAATCGAGTTTAAATGACGTTTGAGTGCTAAAATTTATTGCAAGAACAGCAAACACTGGTTTGGAGGAAAGGTTTCAGCTCAACTGAAATTAAGGGAGTATTCACGCTCACTGCCGCGTTCGAGACACAATATTGCTACATTATATCAGTCGCATGTTTAAAACATATAATTTCGCTGGTTTCTGAGATCGTCAAATAATATATTTTGACAGGCAAGAATGTTATGAGATGGTATTTGGCACGTATTCCTGAAGTCCAGATTCATCGTATAAAATGTTGAAAATCTCAGCTTTCCTCAGCTTTATTTTTAAATCTTCGGTAACTTTTTCATGGTTTTTTCATTGAAAGTATAATTAATTATAAAAATTCATTAAGAAAAAGAAGGTCACGCAAGCTACCAAATAAAAGGGGAATCCTCCAGGTACTTTTGTCTGTTTTGAGTAATTTTTATTATAGTTCCGGCGCTTTTTAGTAACTTTTTCTCGACCTGTGCTTTTTCAATTTCAACTGTAATACTTCCTCTCAAAAACCGAGGTTTTCTTCTGTTCTTCCTGTGGCTATTTTCTCGACTCTATCACCGCCGGGAGTTTCTTTTGTGATTTCTGGATGTGAAAATTCTTTAATCGCGCATCCTAAACCGGCGTCTTTTATAGATGAAACTTTTCTCTTTAAAGAAGCTCTTAAAACCTTTCCAGGAGGACGAAATGAAATTTGTTCGAGCGAAAGAACACATCACAACGCCCAGTTACATCAAATCATGAGGACGCTGTTTCATAAACGTCAACATCAACAGAAATGCAAGTTCCTATTGGACAAAGCAAAACCTGTTCTGAGTCACTGAATAATTTCAGGATCCCACAGGTGGATTGGCAGTTTTACAAAAAACCAATTTACAGTTGAACGCTAATTGTAGTTATGACCTTACGTGAAACATGCAGTTTTACGGTTTAATGAACAAAACAGCAGGTACTAGTTATTACTGACATGCGGGGAATTCCATAGGTTCGATTAAAACCCCATAATTACCAGTTCGCTAGAGGTGTACATTTTTATTTTGGCGATAAAGTTTCGAAGTTTCGCATTTCTGAGGAGCAAAACTGGATAACAGACCCCTTCTGTGTTCGTGGTTGGCCAGGTTCCAATTTGCCTTGCCCTTTTGCTGACAGGCTTCTAATAAATATTAACGATTTCAATGAGTCTTTGCATAACCTTAATTGAGTGCTGGTATGTTTTTTCACAGGGAACGAAGACAAGACTACGTCCGGTCCAACCTGAATAATCTGATGGCTTTCCACCGGTGCATAGACTTGTCAGATATTAATGTCCCCTTAAAAGGCCACCAAGCCGAAGCGCACATACTGCACGTCAAATTTCATGGGATCGATCGAGACGATTACAAAGTTGAGTATGAAAAGCTCGAAAGCACTTTGCTGACAGAGTACTTGAAACAACGCGATGGGCCCGACTTTCATCAAAAACTTATGAAATTGACGTTTAATATTACACCAGTCGATGAAGCGAATGCCTTCTGCCAAAGCGTGCTAGAAAGAGGGATTTTTTGTCGTCAAAGCTCGTACTTCTTCCTGGGTCACTCGGATAAACAGCTAAAAGAAAAATCGTGTTACATGATGAAAGCTTCTAATGAAGAAATTCACGAGCTCTTGTCAAAGTTCGGCAATTTTTGGGAGGAGAAAAACTTAGCAAGGCGGGCTAGAAAAATCGGCATGCTCTTCTCAAGGTTGAACAGAACCATGCCATTGAGAGCAGACGAGTACACAGTCGAGCCAGATAAAAAGGGTGGAGTAGTTAGGTCGTACACTTTCACCGATGGATGTGGTTTCATGTCTCCAAACTTTGCTTCAGAACTTCAACAAATCTTTGAACTGAATTACAAGCCGAGCGCCGTCCACATACGATATCGAGGAATCGAAGGCGTGCTGTGTCTCAAAGATGATTTGACAGAAGTTAAGGTGCAGTTTCACAAATCAATGCAGAGGTTCTTCACACCAGACGAGAATATGCCTCACACGTTCAACTTCATCGATGTCGTGGATCACTCGCGTCCCTACGTTAATGGTTACCTTAATTCTCGAATGGTCATGTTGCTGGCAGAACGTGGTGTGTTCCCAGAGAATCTGGAAGATTTACAAGATGGCTTCCATGAACTAGTGGAAAACATGTGCAAAGAAACCGCAGAATACTTCCTTTCCTTCAAAGGAGAATTTCGACTTCTGCAGGAAATTCAAGAGAATGGAATCGACAGTGGTGTGAGAAATCGCCTGAAATTGTTACAAAAGCAAGAGCTAGACGAGATGGGAATGGCTGCCTACACAAGAGTACTTGTTCCCAAATCCCGCGTGGTGTTTGCAGTGAGCGATCCTCTACATAAGCTGAAGTACGGTGAATGTTATTTCAACCCTACTACCCCGAGTGAAGAAGCAAGGAATTTCCCTAACGGCCAAAAGTTTTTGGTGACGCGCAGTCCGTGCTACGTCCCAGGGGATTTGCGCGTGTTGAAATTGACGAATGATCGCGAAGGGTACGAGAACTTGAAGGACTGCCTGGTGCTGCCCGCCAGAGGTCCACGTCCTCATGCCTTTGAATGTTCCGGCGGCGACTTGAGTGGAGAGAAGTTCTTCGTTTGCTGGGATAAGAAAATCATTCCAAGTGGGAACGAGAAACCATGCGACTACTCGCCCACAAAGGGAGCTACAATTCGTCGAACTTCGTCTAAATCGCTCGCAAAGGTAACTGAGAAATTCAAGAAAAATGACAATGGCAAAGAGGTGAAACATCGTGAAGAAATGATGCAGTACTTTGCTACATACTCTGATGAAACACAGATTAAGATTGAACGAGAATACATGAAATATGCTACTGGCAATGGCCCATCATCGAAAGAATGCCGACACCTTAGTAAGATGTTATACCAAGCCACCAATTTCACCAAAGATGCAAATGATCTCGAAAAGCAACTTGAAGAAACGGAACAACCGACAAGTTCGGAATTGCCCTCGAATTCACTACCTAACAGGCTATCGTGCGTGTTTGCCATTAGCGAGAAAGAATCTGTGAATGAAATAATGAGGAGAATCGACAGTAAGGCAAAAGAGTTTTTCGAGCGAATGCAATTTGAAACAAAGAAGAGCGAAGCTTAGGCCCCCGTGAGGAGGAGAGCAGTAGCTTTTTATACCACCTATTGATATCTAGCGGTCTGAGTGGAACAAAAAAGATAAAAACTTTAAAAACTCAAAGTTGGGAATGTGCGTTACCTCATAGAACATCACTTTAAAAAACACTTTTTGGAAGTTTAGATATTTTTTGCTTTCCCGCCTTCTGACGCTTGGTTCACAAGAACTCCTGACATCCAGCACAGCTTAAACATGGACTGATAATAGTTAGTTTATAGATTGAAAATCGACAACAGGCAAACTCTTAGGTAATATTTCTTATGAAAACGAAACTTCATCTCGCAATCACTTATCATAATTGTTACCTTTCTGTACATACCAGTTACGATATTTGGAAAAGAGTGTGTACGAGAGTATTCCTGTTGATAATTTTCCACATATAATTTTTATTTATACAAGATTCATCACCAAGGGCGAACTCCCTTTCCCTTTTTTGAAGCATATTCGTTGTTTTGAATCATATGCTAATATAGGACTATTTTGGAATTTGCTTTAGATTTTGTATAGTTTTTATCGGCTAAAATGAAAGACTTTTTCAGCTCGATTTTTTTTGTCCTTTTATTTTCGTATTTAGTATCATCGGTGAAAAGTGCATGTATAAATAAGAGACTTGTGTTAACTTTTATTGGTATTGAGTGCGCCGATTAATCGTACAGCTGAAGCCTGTTGTGTTTTGTGTTATCGCCCTAGCAGGTGTTTTCTGGTTGTCACGCTTATTTTCACGTAACTTTTAAAATAAAAGGCTAGCGTGACGTCTTTGTAAAGCAAGCGAGTGATATTGGAGTGTTTAACCCTTTTCAATATTAAATTCATTGCAATGTAGAAAAAAAATGTTACGTATAGCCATGTTATCTTTATCAATTGCTTTGCAAAGCTGGTATTATTGTAAAATTGAAAACTAAATAAGCATTTAAGTGATGCTATTGCTTAATTCGTGAACTAGGTAAGGAAACAAATAATCCGATTTCAAAGTTATATGCGGGCGGTGGGAACTGAGCATAATCATAACAGCATGTAAACCTGAACAACGTTTGAATTAAACAGTTTTTGATGAGACGTACAGTGGTAACTGGTGTTAATGGCGAAGTCGCGAAGATTCGACCACGCTTTTCACGGTGCCTCTTTTGCCTCAACCCTTCCCATGCAAGACAAATGAATTCCATAGAAAAAAACTTCCTGGCTGAAAACGGTGAATCTTTTGTCAAGATAAATTCCAAGCATCACATTTCAAAGCATCACATTGCCAGAAAAATAGAGAATAACAAGTTATCGAACTTCAAAATGAAAACGAATTAATCAGTGGGGAGTTTTGGGATCGGAACACTGAAGAAAGTCCATTTAAAATAAGGATGGCGACTACTTTGAAAGAAGGAAAGCCTAGAGCAGAACAGAACAGATCAGTTCGTGAAAACTGCTATCAGTTGAGGTTTACCTTAGTTTGACTCATTTGTGTTAAAGTTGAACTTTAATTCAATCGATAGTGAACAAAAATCTTGGCAGCGAAATCCTTGTTTGCGTTAATCAGCCCGAGTGGTTGTGTTCTAATCGTACTTCGTGATCTCTATTGTTTACGACCTTCAATTCTTGTGGGATCTGAAACACATTAATAAAATATAAGACTGAATAAGTCTGCTAACTTATACTTTCAGTATTTAACATATTTTAACATTTCCGAATAAATATTTCTTTTCTGAACGTGGAGAAATTGCCAAGATAAACAGCAGACACAAAACTGAGGGGCAATGAGAAACTTCCCACCTCTAAATACACAGAGATCGCAGACTTTCCACGGCCAAAATTATAATAGAACACTGTTTGCATTAAAAACAGATCTAAGTTTTTCACTGTTCAGACAAGGTGGTGTTTTAATCGGAGACGGTCACCATGACACATGTCCGAGGGGTTTTTATTGGGGCAAATTTGCAATTCTCAGAAAACGGCCGGAAGTTAAAAAGACTTCTGAGAAGGTTTTGAATGCTCCAATGATCTGCACGCAATTAGTACGTTACTCGATGCATGTCCAATTTGGTATCAGGTATATGCCGAGCTACTATCCACAAAATATTGCTCTGAAAGTTAGCTGGGAACTAAACTAGCTGAAAATTTGGGAAAGTCTACCTGCGAGAAAGATCCCGAAGGGCAGGTAAGGAAAAATTAAAGCGGATTCGCATGGGAATATCCGGAAATAAATGTCTGAATTTCGTAACTAGGAGATTTTGCTTTTAAGGTTCGAAATGCCATCCATCACTAACTCACGGCGGAAGAAAATCATCGGAAAACTTTAAAATTGTTTTTAAATGACAAAGCACGGCTACTATCATCAAAATTGTTCGAAGAAGTAGTTTGTCACAATCAGCAACATCTGCGAAATGACATGTGACGAACAACTGAAGCGTATGTTTGAGCAGTTCAGTCACAACACAAGGACAAAATTGTTGACTTAGTGGAGCTGATACAAAAAGAAAATCACTCGTCAAAATAAATTACAGGGCTTTTGTGAAACATCATATCGGACGGCAACACCGGAATACGAAAAAGCGGAAATCGAAAGAGGAAAATTGTTGCAGTGGACGAACCAAAGATGAAACCTAACGTCTTTCAGTGATCACGTTTTGAACGCCGAGCTACAATCGTCGAACAAACTACCTCTATTCCGTTCTGTAAATTTGTACTAGTTTTGTCAAAATTAGCTGTTGAGTTCTGCGTTAAACCTCATTGAAATTTGTATACATTACAATTTTCGCTGACATGTTAGTTTACATTTTGCTTCTTCTGCATAAATCAGACAACAACAAGAAGTATACACCAGCAAACCCTGCAGGGGAGGGGAAGGGGAGGAAAACTCCTTTATCTGGCGCTAACTGCAGTGTGTGTCGCCAGACAGGACCGAACAGGGAATTGTTTTGGGGCCTTGAGCCTTAAACAGGGAATTAAATTTTTTTTTGATTTACCGGCGTCTTGAAAGGCCGTCTTTAGAGATAAAAGAAAAGAAAGAAAGAAGGGAGTTGAAAGTAGTTCCAAGTTCTTCGTTCGACTGCATGTACGTGTTAGTATCTTTCCTTTAGGCAAAAAATCACAAGGACGGATTGACATGTAGCGAATTGATGAACTATTTCACAACAATTTTGCGGCCTACCTGGGGCAAGAATAAGCGAGATGCTAGCCTCACTTAGCGAAAGTAGCGCATGAAAGCCTGATAATTGCGATCTTCTTTAAAATCAAAACATGACCAAGCTGTCCAGTCTTTTTGACATACTTTGCGACATGGGACTACAAGTTCCCGGACAGACCTGAAAAATAGAGGAAATGATCATAAAATTCTTATTCTTCCGCTAGAAAATCCAAACGATGGACCCATACGGTATACCAGATGATATGATAACAACACCTCCTACAGACCACTTACAAACGGTCAAATACGTGAAACACTTTGACATACAAGGAAATCGGGTGCGACCGCCTATGAAGTACAACAAGATGGAAGGTGGCAACCTTTTCCTGGAATATCTCATGTCTGTGCAAGGTCCACAAGTGGTCGACAGGCTAATGACAGTAGGCTTTCGTCCTGAAAGAGGGGCGGAAACTGACTGCTCAGAAAGGATCCTAAAAAGAGGCATTCTTTTTAGCGGCGAGGTTTATCGATTCCTTGGCCATTCCAACTCTCAACTTAAGGAGAGAACTTGTTTTCTAATGAACGACACGGATGAGCACATTTACGAGCTGCTCGCGGAGTTTGGCAAGTTTTCCCAGATCAAATCAACCGCCAAGCGTGCAAAGAGAATTGGACTGTTATTTTCGTCTTTCAGTCAAAGCATAACTCTGGAAGAACACCACTACGATGTTATCAACGACATCGAGCGCGGAAATTATATTTTTACCGATGGATGTGGTTTTATGTCAGATTCATTCGCGCAAGAAATACAAGATGTACAACACCTTGAAAGCAAACCTTGTGTGGTACAAGTCAGGTACCAAGGCTTTAAAGGTGTCTTGCTCCTCAATTCCCAGCTAGACGGTGGCGTAAAGGTACAGTTTCGTAAGTCCATGAGGAAATTTGCTATTCCGGATGAGCAGATGCGCCGAACTTGTACCACGTTTGGTGTCGTAAAGTGTTCCCGGCCATACACCATTGGCTACCTTAACAAGCAGATTACGATGTTGTTGGCGGACAGCGGAGTTAAGCACAGCTACCTAACTGGGCTGCAGAATGATTATCACGCATTGCTCAGAGAGGTCTTGGGCAGTGAACAAACCGCCGAGTTCTACCTGCGTATCAAAGGTGAGCACAAATTGCTCAATTGGTTGCACGACGATGGTTTGAAAAGTGACAGCCTGCAAAGGGAACTCAAAAGTCTTCGTAATAAGGAAATTCGCAAAATGCAGAAAGAATCCCCTAAGGATAGAAACGACAACACCAGTCAAACAAATGGTTCTAAATGTAAGCTGAGGGTTCTTGTTCCAAATTCAAGGGTAGTGTTCGGTGCATGCGATCCATTTAACGACCTTGAGTACGGCCAGTGCGTTTTTCAACCAACTCTTTATGACGAGGTGCAAATTGCAGAGTTTCAAGCGGCTCAAGAAGTGATTATTGTTCGGAATCCCTGTTATCATCCAGGTGACATCCGTGTATTGAAACTCGTGAAAAATCTCCGAAAATACGAGTATCTCAGTGATTGCATCGTGTTCCCTACAAGAGGGAGCCGACCGCACGCCGACGAATCTTCAGGAGGGGATCTTGATGGCGATGAATTCTTCGTGAGTTGGGATCAGGATCTGATTCCTCCATGGCGCAGTGCTCCCTTTGAATACTCGTGTAACAGTCCACTCATCGCGATTCCAAACGCGGTTAAAGGCTACTTGAATCAGTTTACTAGTTACTTAAGAGATTTTATTACCAGCTGGGCACACCATTACATGCCATCGTTGTTTGGCTCAGTAGAGCACGCCGAGAAAGCTAAAAAAGAGAAAGAGCGAAGACACATGCTCGAATACTTCACGTCTTTCAACAATGATCTGGTTGCAAGAGTTGACGCCGTCTTCATGAAGTATGCTGCTCTGTACGGACCGTCATGTTGTGAATGCGTTTATTTGACCAGGTACACATTTGTTTCGGTTAACTTCCGGTTTCATTTAGACAAGTCAAGAGAATATTGATTGAGTTGATATTCTCTTAAACAAGTAGAACGTAAAGTTAAGTCACTAATGGTATGTAAGAAAAACTAAACAAGAGTTCACAATAGTGCGCATCATCATATCATAACACCTCTGAATCTCCTCCTTGGCGGACCACGTCAAGGACGCCGGCATAGCTCTTTGACTGAAAAAAATCTAAACGTCTTGCAAAAAAAAAAAAAAAGAAGAAAATTAAGACAAGTAAACGTCATTAAAAAAGTAAGAACCCAGAGGGTAGTATTTTACGGCATTTCACAAAATCTTAAAAACACCTGTTCTTCATCGACAGATTTTTCTCAGACGCCGTTGACATGTTGGCGGAGAAGGACGAAGTGCTCGCCAAGGTTCGGGAATTGAATCGCGACTATCCGCGTGGATTTTTCCAGGATGCATCCGCGCGACAACCAGATTTCTTTAGACGCATCCTGATCCGAATGAAAATGCGGAAACCACCATTCCAACCCGGAGATGACGTGTGGACGCGCATGGAAGAGAAAACGCGATCATTTGTGGAGGAAATATCGGGAAGACACTAGTATCGAGTTGCCCGAGTATGTTTACATATCTTGTCAAGCAGGAGCCCGATAATTCTGCCTTAAGTCTTCATACGATGTTGACCATGTGAAAAGTGCACATTTGACAGTTTTCTATTACCCAACAGAAATTCTTCGTGTCCGGAGACTATGAACAGCATTTTGTCAAAATCGGAGTTCCTTGCTCTCGCATCAACTCATCAGACATATGTTTCGCACGCTCGTTAAATCCAATTTTTTTTCGCAAATATCTATTTTTACAAAGAGGTGAAAATTAACAGTAATTGATTGAATAATTAAGTTCCCCTGTGATACAGTGTTACTTTTACAATCATTCAATATTCTGTTCTTTTTCGTTTTTTATTAGCTCTGTATGTATCCCATATATTATTGAAAAAGCATCAACTGTGTTATACTTACGGAAGTAAAGATTTCCAAAGATCCACGGTTGAAAGAGGAAATTCTGACAGTTTTCGGATAAACATTCTTTCCGCGGACAGTTTAACAACCTCGCCTGAAAATACGACGGTGGAAAATAAACAGAAGAGTGAAAACGTGGCAATCTTATCCGTAATGGTTAACTTGTACATTTTTAAATTCTCGCATTTTACTGACAAAGGTGTCGATGAGAGTTCATATATTAACCCTTTACACCCTAACATCCAAATGCATATTCTCCTCAGTGTTCTGTATACATATACTAAGGAACTGACAGGAGAATTTGTTTA